TGACTATATTCTTAGTTGTCTTCATGTTTCCATTGGTCTGAAAGCCTTAATGTTAAATATTTACAAGGAAAATTTCACCAATTAAAAAAAAAACCTTTATTTTATGTTATGAGTATGAGTGTTTTGCTTACAAGTATGTATGTGTACTATGTGTGTGCTTGATGCCCAAGGTCAGAAGAAGCCATTAGATTCCTGGAACTGGAGCTATGGGTGGTTGTGAACTGCCATGTAGGTGCTGAATCTAGGTCCTGTGCAAAAACAAGTGCTCTTAACCACCAACTCATTTCGCCAGTCCCAAATTTCACCTTTTTTGAAGTGGGAATATTGGATTTAATTTTAACAGTTGACAAATATGAGTCAAGCAGAAACTATGAAGAAAACGTTTTGGTTTTTATATTTCTATTCTTTAATCTTCTTTGTCTCTTTAAAATACTATCAAGGGAGCTCCAGTTGGCCTGTCACGAGGTTCTTCTGAGATCTGCCGGCTCTATATCCAAGTGCTTGTGTCTAGCAGAGCCGGTGTGAGTAGAAGAGATGATCCGTCCTCGCAGCCTGGATAATCAAGAATTTTTGGCGGGATGGGGGGGGGGAGCCTGGAGAAAAGCACAGACTATGGCCCTAAAACGAATTAGTAAAGAACTTAGTGTGGTCCTCCAGCACAGTCTTCTGCAGGTCCAGTTGGAGAGGACATGTTTCATTTGCAAGCCACAATTATGGGACCTAATGACAGCCCATATCAAGGTGCTGTATTCTTTTTGACAATTAATTTTCCTATAGACACTACGCCTTCAAACAAGAATTTATCATCCAAATATTAATAGTAATGGCAACATTTGCCTTGATATTCTAAGATCACAGTGGTCTCCTGCTTTAACTACTTCTAAAGTTCTTTTATCCATTTGTTCACTGCTATGTGATTCAAACCCAGATGACCCCCTAGTCCCAGAGATTGCACGGATCTATAAAACAGATACGTATAACAGAATATCTTGGAATGGACTCAGAAGTACGCCATGTGATGCTACCTTAACGCCAAAATAACCTGCATTATAGCTAGAATAAACTTTAAATTACTGTTCTTTTTTTTTATTTCCTTATCCAGCTGCTCCTCTATCAGACCTCACCTTTTTAATTTTATTTTTTGTTCACCTCCCTCCATCCATTCACATGCTCATCTGAGAAGACTCAAGTTCTTCCAGCTTTGGGCAATAACTTCTTTTAGAAACTGTAAAGTAATTAACAAGAGAACAGGTGCCCAAGATTCAGGACTCTTTAAAAAACTGGAGCGTGTGTATTATGTGGCCAGTGTCTTCACTCTAACTTGGTTATGAGACTAAACCAATCCTCACTGCTCTGACGTGCTGAAGAAACCATCTGAGGGGAGGGAGATGGATGGATGCACAGCTGCCACATCAAAGGAAACAACATTATTCTAGTGGATCCATTGTGTGTAAGCCTCCCACTGTTAGAGATTTGAGGTTACATGATATACTTCATGCTCATAACTGATGTGGCTGGAGACTTGGTATTGAATTAAAGCATCAGCAGAACTGAAAATGTGATGTATTTTATGACCTGTTCTTGTTCTATAGAGAATGGAAATTGCAAGTCAAACACCCTTTGTAGTCCAAAACAGGGTCTCAAAACATTTTTGTAATTTTCATTTAAATTGTTAGGAGGCTCGGAGCTATTAATCTATCTTTCAATACTGTCTAATATAGCACTGAATAAATGATGTGAGTTGTCAAAAAAAAAAAAAAAAAACAATTCAAGTGCTGGAGAGATGGTTCAGTAGTTAAGAGCACTGACTGCTCTAACAGTGGACCTAAGTTTGACTCACAACACCCATATGGCATCTCACAGGCATCTGTAAATACAGTTCTAGGTGATCCAACACTCTCTCTGGCCCCCAAGGGCAACAGGCATGCACATGGTGCACAGACATACATGAAGTTAAAAAAAAAAACTCATAGACATAAACAAAAAAACTAAAGTCTCTTTGAATCTCCCAAGACAGTTTGGAAAGAACGACGCCCAAATTCCCAAATATTGTGTATAAATGTTTGTTTTCATTAATTGGACTTTGTTATATAAAATTAAATAAAAAACTTATGTATAAAAAAACTAAAGTCCTTCAAAATAAACAAAATATATCAAACCCCACAATTTAATAATAGGCTGCTTATATCCACTTATAAAATATTATGTAACTTAAATAAACCTATTTTAAATTAAAAACATTTTTAATGTGTATGGATGTTTTGTTGTGTGTGTGTTGTGTTTACACCACATGTATGTCTCTGTACCATGTGCATGCATGTTTTGTTGTATGTGTGCGCATCACATGTATGTCTGTGTATCATGTACATGCACGCCTGTTGCAAGTGAAAGCCAGAAGAGGGCACTGGTTTCCTAGAAGTTGGAGTTACAAATGGTTGTGAGCCATTATGTGGGTGCTGGGAATCAAACCCAGGTCCTCTGCAAGAACAGCTAGTATTCTCAACTGGTGAGCTCTCTCTCCATCCCCACAACCCCCTAGTTCAATGTGTACTAGTTTACTCTCTTAAGTGACTAATCCTAGGTGCAATATCAGAATGGCATTGCTTGGAGTGCCCAGTGTTTAGGCACACCTAATTATCTTTGTTCAAGAGCACACAGTATAAGCCTGAAAGAACTGTCATTCCTTAATTTAAGTTTGGAGGACACCGGCTTGATTATTTTCCTAAAAAGGCAAGCTTTATATAATTTAGCAGGCAGAGTTAACGACCATACATGGATCGGGTATCTGATGCACAAATACATCATATACAATAGTGCTTATTGAGTCAAAATAGATGTATGTAGCCTAGATTTCAAATGATAAGGATGCTCTAAAAGAGAACTTGTGTTTATTCTACTTGTAGCAATAGGGCTGAATAGCTTTGTATGTGCTACGTAAGTACTCTACCAGAGTTATATTTCCCACTTTTTTCTTATCTTCTTTTCTTTTTGCTGTTGTTTGGTTGATTTTTTTTTAATTTATTTTTTTCAGACAGCATCTCAATATATAGCCCTGGCAGCCCTAGAACTCACTATGTAGACCAGGCTGGCTATGAACTCATAGTAATCCTGCTTCTGCCTCTTTAGTGCTGGGATTGCCCACATGATCCTCAAATGACACCTTGGTCCTCTTTTTAAAATCTGAGACAGGATCTTCCTAAATTGTTCAAGTTGACCTTGCACTCAGAGACTTGGAATCTGTCAGCCTCCTGCCTCAGCCTTCTAAGTAGCTGGGATTATAGACCCCGTAGCACCTTTGGGCCTTTAGTTCTTTTATTTATTTATTTATTTATTTGGTGTTTTGAGACAAGGTTTCACTATGTGGCTCTGGCTGTCTTGGAACTCTCCCTGTAAACTAGGCTGGCCTTGAACTCACAGATCCACCTGCCTTTGCCTCCTGGGTGGTGGGATTAAAGGGGTGCACCACCTGGCTTTGTTTCTGGGTCCCATATCCAGTTGATTGTACAGTCAATAAATCTGTATGTTTGTCTGACCTAAATCTCTTTTATGCCAAATTAGTGTTCAGGCTCAGACTGAGACACTAAGATTTTTTTTCCTCTTATAATGAATTTAATTAAAATCCCAGGAAAACATAAAGGTCTTTGTCACACTTTTCAGGATGTAGTAAGTCCTTTGAATTTTCTCAAGTAGCAAAGAAAGCCAGGCAAACTCTGACCTCCTCCCTGAGGAATCCAGAGGTCCTGAGAGACCTTTCATACTCTGGGTCAAATGCCAGGGGCTTGCCAGACTTGAAGCCTTTACACTCCCCCACCCTAACACATCCTTCTTTCTCCTGCTGGGGATGGAACCCAAGGTCTCCTGAATATTTGGCAAGCACTCACCTCCAAGAGGTCAGTGTCTCAGACCCATTCCTCTGCAAATGGGCTGGCAAAGGAGAAGGGCTTGCATCATCAACGAAGGTGGCAGAAGCAGGTCCTTCCGTGACCAGCCTGGCAGAAATGAAGACATTCTACAGAGACACTTGTGTCTCAAATCTGACTATCAGACTGTTGAAACAATGGACCCCAAAGACATGGAAATTTCACAGAAATCTCATCTTGGGAGAAGGAAAATGCACTGGCAAGAGGGGGAACTTGTGTCCTGGAATGGGATTTCTATTTTTCTTTTTCTGTTATTGGCTTTTTCAGTTAATGTGTCTTTGGGTAGACCTGGCTAGCTTAGAACTCACTATGTAGACCAGGCTGGACTTGAACTCACAGCCATCTACTTACCTCTGACTCCTGGAAAGAGATTTAAAACAATGTTGGGTCAGTGGGGATAGGCAGGACCATACTTTGACCAGTACTGCTTAAATGTGCATAACCTTGGCCTTCTATTTAATTTTTGATCTCAGTTTAGTATTCCAAAGTCAGGCTTGGGTTCCCTGGACCTCTTTGTCCCTATTCCCAATGTGTCCACATTGAAAAAAAAAATTACTTTTTCTGCTTTCAACTTTTAATTTGGTTCTTCCAATTGGTTCATTGAGGATGGATCTGATTTGGGAAGTAGGTTGTGACCTCACTAAGCTCAATAACACTCTTGTTGCCAATCTAGGACCACATACCGCCTCAAACTGTACCAGTTCTATCACACTATTCCACGGGATTTTCTTGTCCACACCGTCCTCAGGCACTACTGACTGCAGGTCAGAAGTACTGGGTAGGACGGGAGGCTTAGAGAGTGGCCAAGAGTCAGGCGGCCCTCCAAGGCCACCTCTTGGCCATCCTCGTGCCCTGCAGCTGCAGTAGCATAGACTGAGATAGCTTCTGTCCCTTGGGAGAAGTCACCTCCCAGCTCAGTCTAGACTGGCCTTAAGGCTCCGCCTCCTTCCTCTCAGGCGCGCCCCCGCCACAGGCTCACCTATGGTACCGCCCCTTCCCCAGGCCCGCCTCTGACCCCGCCCTAGCCTTGGGGCCGCCCCGCCTAGGCCCCGCCCAGGCCCCGCCCTTGTCCCTCCCACTGAAGAGCTGGCCGGAGCCCAGCCGGCCAGGCTAGGCTGGCGTCGCTGCCCGCCGCCAGGCTGGCAAGGGCCGCCAGCGCCGGGCTCGGGGCTCCTGAAGCCTCCGATGGGAAGCTGCGCTCAAAAGGGCGAGAGAAGACGCCGCGGCCACCATGGGGAACAAGCAGACCATCTTCACCGAAGAGCAGCTGGACAACTACCAGGTGAACCCCGGCGCCGCGGCCCCTGTAGTCCTTCCCTCTGTCCTTTGCAGAGGCCTCGCGAAAGCGGAGTCATTGAGGTTCAAACCGTGCCGCTGCCTTCAGCGCGCAGCGTCGCCTTGGGTGGATGACTTCCCCTAGATGAGCCTCAAGTTTCCCAGGCCGGGGAATAAGAGCATTCCAATTAGAGGAGTCTGTCGGATGCGCCTCACCTCCCTTCTTTCCCTCATTAACCTTCTTTCCTGCCCTCTCAGGCTGAACCCTGGCTATTCCTCCCAGCCCACTGGGCATGACCCCCATGCCAGAAAGGTCTTAGCGTAGGGGAAGGACAAGAGGCCCCAAATGCAGTTACAGGTTGGGGTGTGTTGTTTATCTGTTGAGGTTTCTCTATGGCTGTAGCATGGAAATAACTGGAGGAAGGAATCTCTCAACTTTCTTTGTGCTCCCAGTAGCCACTCTCACCCCAGATTCTTCCGGGTTCAGAGCTAGCTATTCATATCAGTGACCCCGAAGCCCCCAGCCATGTGGAAAATTTTCTTTTGGTGTAGGAGGAAAGCTTATTCCCTGGCTGGCCCAGAGTCTTGCCCAGATACCTGCGGTAGTCTCCCCAGGTGTCTACATCCTGAACCCTGTACTCCATCTGCCTTAGTCAGTTTCCCCACTGGCCAGGTCCAGGCATTTTCCACGGCGTGGGATGCCCTTCTCATGTCTCTAAGTAGTGCCTCTCTTTCAAGGCCCCCCTGTGAAATCTCTTCTGTCTCCTCTAAACAGATTGGGTAGGACTGTTTCCTCATGGGTGTCCCTACATTAGATGTCTGTGATCGTCATGAATATTCAATTAGCAAGAAGACCTTACCTCCAGTGTGACCCAAGTGATAGAATATGCACTTAAGAAGAGCCCTAGTGGACAGGGGAGGGCGAATAGGAGGAAGGGTGCTCTTGCTTGGACTAGAAGGTTCAGAAACAAGGCAGAGCTTGCACAGGCCCTTAGGAAACGAGGCGTTCTAGGTGAAGGTAGATGCAGGCAAGCAGCCCAAACCCAGAAGACAAGGGTGGCCTGGTGACAGTGGGGAGCCTGCATCCCCACTCATTGGGTTAGTAGTCAAACCCAGTCCAGTGCTGAGCTCAGATCCTTTGCCAGGGCCCAGCTAGACCCTGCCAGAGAAGTGAGAGCCATGAAACACGAGAGCCCCACATCTCCTTCCCTCTGGCTCTCTAGCATAGCTGACCAGGGCTGGATGGGGGCAGTAGGGTTGTATTCCCTCCTCCAAGTAACCCTGGGTTTCCTGGAACTTCCCTTTCCCAGGCAAGATGTGCCATTCTCTGGTCTTCAGATGCCACCGATTCCCAGAGTTTAGGCTACTGCCCAGGCCACTTATATGTGTGGCATACCCACCCTCCCTGCAACACACATGGGCCCACTGCCCTCCCCAGAACCCACTGCACGCCTCCAGCCCTCTAGCTCTTTGCTGTCCTTCAGCCAGTGTTTTCAATTAAGAACAAGCCCTATGACTCAGCCTACTTTGCATCGCACCTTGAGATCCCCTCCTCCCACCCAAGAACTAGACGCTGGCCAGCCCTCCCAAGCCTCCTGGGGGCAGAGGTCTAACTGAAGCTTCCTTCCCCACCTTTGGTCCTTGACTCCAGCCACAATCCTTGTAGTCTTTCTTTTGTACCTCTTTTCTTCTTTCCCTCTTTCCGTTATCCCCCACTTCCTTTTCCCTCCTTCCTTCATAGTTCTTTCAAGAGACAGCATATGCCTCCCTCACTATGAAAATTATGGACAAAGAGTTGGATTGAGTATGTACTAGCCAGACCCCTATAGGAAGTCCTACAAAACCGTCCATTGGACCTGGATGAATGTATGAGCATAAACACTATGCCCAGCTCTAGCAGGGAGCTTTCTAAAACACAGGTGCAGCTGTCTTCTCTCCAGGTAATTCTAGTGACTTTAGGATGACTGAACTGAGTCTGAGCAGGGCTCAGCCTAGCCTGGTCTGGATTCAGCTGCTCTCCAGCCTCATTTCTTACTTGAGTCCCCAGGCACTTTGCGGGGCTTCTAGTCAAGCTGATGGTATTGTCTTAGCCTCTCATCATCAGTCTGTCTAGGCCTCACATCTTCAGGAAAGCATCCTTGATCTCACCCTGGTCTATTCACCTGGGAGTACTCATGGGCCTATGACACAGATACCTCTCCAGGCCTTCCTCTGGCCACTGAATGGTTCCTCCTGGGTAACATTGCTGTCTGCACTCCTCTTTCCCCCTGAATCCTTGTCTAGGCAAATAAGAGGCATGAGGAAGGGAGGAAGGGAGGGAGGGAGGGAAGCAGGAAAGAGTAAACAAACACAAACATAACATAGAGTTCTAAGAGTGGCAAAGATCTCCATGTGGGATTCTAAAGCTGTAGTTGGGCAGTTGCCACTGTGGGAGTTAACAGGTTGGTATTCTCTTCTGGGCCCAAGTTCCCACTTCTATAGTGGGAATCCTTACTAATCCAGCTAGGCTGATGTCACAGGGCTGTCATGGGGATCAGCTAAGGTCATTCTGGATCCTGACCTCCAGCTGCATGGCGAATGGTGGTGTCAGTAGTAGGCTGGGCTGGCAGAGCCAGAGAGGAGCCACCTCTCCTTCAGATGGAACAGATAGCGACTTGGCTCTTGACCATGCTGTGGGCAGGCCAGGTAGCTAGGAAGCAGATGCCAGACAGCTCTTGAGTAGAGAGGGAGAGGAAGGGGCTGGAAGTGCTGGACAGGAGGGGGAATAGGTAGCACATCCCTTTGGAAGAACTGAGTCTCGATGGAAATGACCTCCAAACTTCTACTAGTAGCTAGGAGATCCCAGCCTGGCCTGTTCAATGCTTCCAGAATCCTGACTCCAGTTATCCCAGCCTAGGCCTCCAGGACACAGTTTTCACATCTGTAAAATAGGTAGCTAATGTTCCAAGGTAGCGCTGAAGATGAGATGAAATCGGCAATTTAGAGTCCCTCATGCAAGGTACCTGGTATCTGTGTACTGGCTGTGAGGTGGTTCTCAGCCTGGGGGGATTAAACCTAAGGCTTTCTGTATGCTAGGCACTCTATCATTGCTCTATACCCCCACCTCTAGTCCTCTGTTCATTTTTTAACACATTTAGACATTATCTCACTAAGTTGTCCTAGGCTGGTCTTGAACTTTTTTCCTCCTTCTTTAGCTTCTAAGTAGTTGGGATTACAGGCCTGTTTGGAAGGAAGGACTGAGTGGCTTTGAAGTTCACCAATACCTGGGGGGACCCCGGGACCATTTTATTGGTCTGAAGGGTGTTGAGGTCCAGGTATTTGAAACTGCTCCCAGGTGGCTATTGTGGTGAAAGAGTTCTCTTGCTGGTAGGATCAGCATCACTGGGAGAGTTTTTAAAGCACACATTACCACCCTCATTTGTTTGTTTGTTTTGCTTTATTTTGCTTTTATCACTCACATTCTCAGGAGGCTGCTGCTATGGCTTGGGCACCGTTTCTTAAAGATCAGTGCCAGGAAGACGAATCTAGTTGTGCCAAAGTGGCCAGGATATGTGGGAAACCTTTTGCAGCAGTACTCTTCAGGGGTCTTGTATAGTTTCGTTCTAAGTTGGGGTATATGTAGGAGGAGCAGAGACTGGGGCCAGGGCCCCCTCCCCCTTATCTATCCCAGTTCTGTGACGCCCCTTCAGGTTAGTTAGCAGAGGTCTGGTCCTTTCAGATGGCAGAGCTAGTCCTCTAGATAGGGAATCTGTTCCTGAAGGCTCAGGGAAGCTGTGCTGCGTGCTCTTGGTCTCTGAGAACAGCTGAGGAACCAGCCCATAAGCCCCCAACCTGCCTGAGTTAAGTCCTGCTAGACAGGGAGTTTTCTGTCTGCGCTGGGTGGAGACTGCTGCTTCCCAGCCTGAGCCTTTCTTGACTCTTACAGAGGGGCCATTACCAAAAGCAAGGTTGAGCCCTCCAAGGGAAGTCCCCGAGTTTCCAACATGGGCACTGCAGCATAGAGTCCCTCATCTGTCTCCTGGGAGACAGCAGGTGGCATAGTAAGCCTGGGCTTCAAGGGAGCCTGGAAATTCCACCCACCTTCCTTTTTGCCTATACAGAGGCATCAAGGAAAACCCCAGCTGTTGTACACATAGTGTGAGCATCCTCTTTGGTCCACCTCAGGGTACAATCCAGCTGGCCTGGTGTCTAGCAGCTCCAGGTCTTACAGAGCCAGCCTAGCTGTCGGTACGCCTGGGCTGTGTCCATTCACCCCCTCATCAGTACAGCTCTGCTTAGCATAAGGCCCCAGGAGGCCCTGTGGGCTCTGCTGAGCCCGAGGCCTTCTTCCTTCATGCTACAATAGTGGGCCGAGGCCGAGGAGCCGGATAGCAGGAGATAAATGAAAAAGCCCTGCGTTGGTGGGCATCTTAAGTCCTATTGGATCACATTCATTTCCTCTCTTCTAGGCCTGGCATAGTAACTGTCATGTACGGCTCTCCAGATAGACAGGTCCTTAAAACGAGTCCAGATGCTACTGTTCCATCCCCCCTTCTAGGGTCTACCTCTCACACCTCAGGGCCTCCAACTCTCTAATGTGTGTCTCCTCGGTGTGATATCCCTTGTTCCTTCAGCCTAAGGCCACACATCATCTATGCGGAACTGTAAACCTCCAAACTCAGGACTGCTGCTCATGGTGACCCAGGATATTCACTCTATACTGCCTAGCCACACGAGGCCCTGTTCTCAGTGCCTATGGTGGTGTGCCAACACATCCTGCTGATCCGCTCTTGAGTGGTCTCTAGAATTGTCTCTTAGCTACCTTCCTGCTCACCCACAGTGTAACCCTCTGACCGACAAATCTACTGTGGTCACCTGTGACTCCATGCTCCTCTTTGCCAGGCACCACCAAATGTGCCACCCAGCCCTACCCCACCTTTTCTATCCTAGGCCCAGTTGGTGGTGGCACAGAGGTGGATCAAAAGCCCCTGAGGCATCTTCTGGACCTACTAGAATTGGCTGTCCTGGGGAGGACAGGGAAGGGGTAGGAGGCATAGTCCAGGGCTGTTGGATGGGGTCTACCATGTGTGTTTTTCCTCCACAGGACTGCACTTTCTTCAATAAGAAGGACATCCTCAAGTAAGTGTGGCCTCTCATCTACCTCTCTGGATAGGGGTGGGGCTGTGGTAGGGGTGGGACTGGGGGCTGCCCACATGGGGCTTGGCTGGACTGGAGCTGAGGAAGACTGTGGGACCTGAGTTCAGGTGGGCCTCAGCCACGAATCAGAGTGACAGTATAGAATGAAGAAGGTGTCACTGCTTCCTGGACACTTGTCCCTCTTCAGGGAATGGGCCGCCTACTACATTCTGACTCTGAGGTAAAGGGTTTGAGGCACAGTCTCATTCAGTCCTCACTGGGACTTTGTAACACGAAAATCCTGCTAAACACATTCACCATGTGACTTTCAAACTTGGCCCAAGTCACAAAGCCAGGATCTAGAGATGTGGCCTTCTAATTCCAGGACCGTGGCTTTATTTATTTATTTATTTATTTATTTATTTATTTATTTATTTTTTATTTTTTTCATTTTGGGGCCTGCTTCCATAGGGACCCCTGTCTTTTAAGCTAGGGACTCTATTACTCCTTTGGCCTCAATGTCTGTCACTCCTGGGATGTCCAGAAGCTAAAGACATGTCCATCACCCCTGAGCTGTTTACCAGGGTCTCCAGGACAGTCCCCATGGCAGTGCTGGTAGTCTTAGCCCAGTGAGCAGGCATTACAGGACGCTAGGAAACCTGCAGCTCTTGCTGGCCCCATCTACCTAGGCTATCCAGTGTCATTAAAAGCCAGCAAAGTCTCGGGATCAGTTTCCCTGGAGATCGATGCTCCGGCTGGGTCTATAGCCTGGTGCAGCCTCCCCAGAGAGCTGTGCTGTCGTTTGTCACTACCCTGACCACTCTGTGTGGCGTGTTCCTCTCCCACCTCGCCATTCTGTCTTGTTACTTAGGTGGGCAGAGGATGCCCTATTTTCACTTCTTGGGGGGTGGTCAGAGCTCCCCCATACTTGGTCTCAGGCTGGCATGTCCTCTTACCTGCACAGCACTGGAGTTCTGTGGCCTCATTGAGGTTTGACCCTCTGGAACCTCATTTTCTGGGGGGTGATGGTACCACTATCAAGGGGCAGTGATCAAAGGCGTGCCACCTGACCACTGGGACTAGCCTATCCTAAGTGATGCGTCCTCTGTGAGAGATTCTGGGGCTCTTTTCAGTCTTTACTGTATTAACCCTCCATTTATTTATGTGTGCTCCCACCCCAGCTCTTACAGTGCTCTTAAAGCCAGCCAAAGCTCTGTAGGTTCGTAGACTCAGTAGCTAGCTACCTGGAGAATTCAGGCCTACCTGGGCCTGGCTCCTGGGCATGGTGCCTGTTAGCCAGCAGTGAGTGTGTAAGAAGTGTGGTAAGGGAAGGAGCGGTCACAGGAGGATGGTCCAGGCTGGCAAAATGCCGAGACAAAGACACAGGCCTGCATTGCCTTCTCACCCCTACAGTGCTAATCCAGTAGAGAATAGCAAGGCGTTGGGGAAGAGTGGCATAAGAGCTGGTCTGCTGGGGTGTCTCTGGCTCATTGGCAAATGAAGGGCTCTTGGGCAAAGTTTCCCTACTCCCCACAACCCTGGCTTTTTTATCTCCACACTAAAGAAAGGAGCAAATGTCATGTCCCCTCATGGGCAAAGGAACCTCCCAGGCAGCTGGACACCCTGCCTGAGCTGCTGTCTGCCTTGTCACCTCCATGTCACTGACCCCACAGCCCTGCCAGCTCCTCCCTCCCCACTGCTCACATCCCATGAGGCTTAGAGAGGACGAGGAGCAGAGACCACCCAGACCCTGGCTCCACTGGCCTGCCTGCTTTGATGCAGCTCCTCCTCCACCCCAGGCTGCCTGTTTCCTTGGTAAGCTGAACCCTGCGTACTGACCAGATGGCAGGGAGGAAACTTGAGCAGGAGGCTCTTCTGTCAGTGCTTTAGATCCCAGATAACCACCATCCCACGCTCAGCTCAACTGCTCCCTCTACCAACAACCCCAGTAGAGCCCCTTAGGGCCTAGCCACAGCCCTGCCATCCCAGCACTGAGGTGGGCCACAGCCCACCCCACTTTCAGCCTCCATGACTCCTGTGGGTCAGAGCTTAGCCCTCCCCTTGTCCTCAGTCCTTTGTTCCTGAGCAAGTGGACAGGAGTCCTTGTCCCCCCAGTCAAAGACAAGCCTGCCCGTGGGTAGCCCAAGGGGTCTGCCAAGTAACTGCTTTATTGTTTATTTTCTTAACCTTTTAAACATTTGTGTAATCTGTTTTAATTACTTTTTATTTTATTTTTTCTATTATACATGAGGAGTCTGAAACTTAACTGCCTGCAGGGGCCAGCCTGCACCCTGAGTAGAGGAAGTGGGCCGGTCCCTGGATCATTTCTGAAGAACTAGCTGCTCCCAGCCCCAGCAGGATCGGCAAACAGATGTACAGTGTACACATCTTTCAATTTGTAAATGCTGGCAAATAAATTTGAAAATTTAATTTAATTCTTTCTTTTCTAAAAATTTAATATATTTAAAACCCCATGTGAGAGACAAGCATTCATGTGGGCTATCAATTTCTGACTTTTCAAAAGAACCTATCTTTCCCCCCCATAACTTCCAGTGCTTTGTATCAAAGGTTACGTCTCATTAATATTTGGACTCCACTCTCGTCTGAGTCTGGCACCAATGTCTACTTATTTTTGTTCTTTTTGGGGCCAGGGCAGGAGGCAGGAATTTAAGACAGTCTTGCTATGTAGGGTTGGCTGGTTTTGAACTTTTGTAGGTGCCATTGCTCCATTCGGACTGCTTTCTTTTGGGTTCTAGAATGAGGGGTTGGCTTTGCCTCCCCTCTCCTGATCTGTCTCTTCCTCTTCTCTCTCTCCCCCTTTATTATTATTATTATTATTATTATTATTATTATTATTATTATTATTATAACTCAGGTGGGCCTGGAGCTTGTAATCGTCCTCCTGCTTCAGCCTCCTTACTGGTAGGGAGGGCTCCATTGACTTCGTAAAATCACCCAGGTGGCTTTCACATTTGGTTTCACGCAGTTAGAGTAGCACAGTTGTCATTTCTGGTCCTGGCTGTTATGATGGGGCCTTTTATTGGGGGAAGAGGTGACAGAGATGTAAGCCTTTCTCTTTCTTTCTTTTTTTCTTCCTTCCTTCCTCCCTTCCTTTCTCTCTTCCCCCCCCCCCCCACTTCCTTCCTTCCTTCCCTCTCTCCCTCCTTCCTTCCTTCCTTTCTTTTGGTGATTTTCCTCCCACAGAGATTTAGACTTTCAAATTCTCTGTGGACTTCCTTAAAATTTTCCATCATTATTGTGGTTATTTTACCTTTATTTTTTTAAATATTTTAAAAGATTTATTTCATGTGCGTTGAGTGTTTTGCCTGCGTGTATGTGTGTGTACAACATGCCTGCCAGTGCCTACAGACATCAGAGGAGGGTTTTGGATCCCTGGAGCTGGAATCACGGGTAGTTATGCTGCAAACTGAATTCAGGTGCTCTGCAAAAACAACAAGTGCTCTTAACTGCCAAGCCATCTCTCCAGCCCCAATTTATTTTAGTTTTTAATTATGTATATGTGTGTGTGAGAGAAAGAGAGTACATGCCATGTGTGTATGCCTGAAGAGGCGAGAGGTGTCAGATCCCGGAGCTGAAGCCACAGGTGGTTATGAGTTGCCTCAAGTCCGCACTGGAACGCTTAACTCAGATCCTGCGAAAGAGTAATACATCCTCTTGACCTCAGAGTCATCTCTCTAGCCCCTAGTTCTTGTTTCAGAACAGATCTGTATACCCCGGCAGAACCTGGCTTTTCATTTTAGGAAATGCATCCCCACTCTTTGGGAGTACCCAAGCCTGGTCCCACGCTCACCTCTTCTGGGGAGTCCCAGCAGGCAAACAAGAGAGTAGAAATAGCTACAGTTTGACTCTAGGTGGTTTATGTATATGTGTGTACTTATGTGTACATGGGTGCACATGATTTTTGTTTGTCTGTTTGTTTTCTTAGACAGAATTTCTCTGTGTAGTCCTGGCTACTTACTGGAACTTACTCTGTAGACCAGCCCAACCTCAAATTCAGAGATCCGCCTGCCTCTGCCTCCTGAGTACTGGCATTAAAGTTGTGTGCCACCACTGCCCAGCTGCACTGGTGCACATGTATGTGTGGGTGCATCTGTTTGTGCATGCAGTGGAGGCCAGAAACAACCTCGGGCATTATTCTTCAAACACATCCACCTTTGTTTTGAGACAGAGTTTCTCATTGGCCTGAACTTACCAAGTGGCTGGCCAGTCCTCAACGATCTGCCTGTCTCCTACTTTCTAGCACTGGGATTAAAAGTGTACATGCCAGGGATGGAGAGATGCCTCAGAGGTTAAGACCACTCGCTATTCTGATAGAAGACCTAACTTCAGTTTCCAGTACCCCCATGGTGGCTCACAACTGTCCCTAAGTGTGTATGTGATCCATAGACATAAATGCAGGCAAAATGCTCATACATGTAAGAAAATAAATCTTTAAAAATTTAAATAAATAAAATGTTAAGATTTTCTAAAAAAAAAAAACCCAATGTTTTTTTGTTTTTTTTTTTTTTTTTTGTTTTTTGTTTTTGTCACTGTGCCTGACCTTTACTTTTTTTAAAGATTTATTTATTTATTATGTATACAGTGTTCTGCCTGCATGTATGCCTTCAGGCCAGAAGAGGGCACTGGATCTCATTATGGATAGTTATGAGCCACCATGTTGTTGCTGGGAATTGAACTCAGGACCTCTGGCAGAGCAGCTAGTGCTCTTAGCCTCTGAGCCATCTCTCCAGCCCCAGACCTTTTCTGTTTTCTTTTTTTTCCTTCCCCTTCCTTCCTTCCTTCCTTCCTTCCTTCCTTCCTTCCTTCCTTCCTTCCTTTCTTCTCTTTCTTTCTTTGTTTAAAATTTAAGTTCTGGGGATTGAACTTGGGTCCTTTACTGACTTTACTCAATTGGCCCTTAGTGTGCTGTGATCTATGAACATTGTCCTGCTAAATCCTCACAAGTGGGGAAAAAAGATAAGACTGGTTCCCACTTCTGACTGAATATCATGCTCTGTGGTTACTCCATTTACCCAAGGTCACCTCACTAGTGAGTGGGTTAGGTACAGTTCCAACCTTAGCCTGGCTCGTAGCTCCTGCTGCAGTAATCCGCACGACTTTGGGGCATAAGTGAATTCCCAGAGGTACCCTGCATCAGCCATAGCATAGGCGGAGGGAGTAGACTTTAAGATCTAGTCCAACATGTAATCATCAGAAACACAATGGGCCCGTTAAGGGCGAAGGATTAGCCAAGAATGGTGACATGGGCCTGCAGTCTCATGTGGTGGTTGCAGCTTGCTGAAGCAGAAGGTTTGCAAGACCTGGCTATGTAGTTAGATCCCATCAACCCCTGCCTCCTCCAAAACGCACATGGGTTGCAAAATGTAAATTTTGGTACAAGAACTGTTATAAAAAGAAGGGCAATACCCCTCGATGCAGGAGATAGCAGGGACAACCTGAGCGTGTGCTTGTGGAGAGTGACAGCTTTGATCTACTCACCCTGGTGTCTGGTGACAGGATTCTAGGGGTTTCCCCTTCTGCTCTGTCCCTGTGACCTCAGGTCCTTTGTGGAGATGTGTCCCTGGAGAGTGAGCTTATGGCATCGTGTTTATCATTTGCTTATCCAGGACATGCTTTGCTCTAGGAGATTCAATGTTTTCCAGGGTGGCTTGACATGCCTCACATGTGTGCGTGTGTGCGTGCGTGCGTGCGTGCGTGCGTGCGTGCGTGTGTGTGTGTGTGTGTGTGTGTGTGTCAGTCCTGGGTTCAAATCTCATCTTCACTGCTTGTTCACTGTGTAAGTGCTGATAGGCACTTAATCATGGTCTTCAGTTTTCCCATCTGAAAGGCGGGAGGCTAATACCCACTTGTCGGGGTATCTGGGAATTAAAGTGAGCAGGACACCTACACAGCTCTAGTCCAGAGACAGAAAACTTGATAGATGGCAGCTTCAGCCATTATCCATGTGTACTGAGGAAGCAGCCAAATGCTCTTACACACCAGGAGCCAGACAGAACTCAGATGAATGTTGGGACTTACTAAGGGAGGACCTGGAAGGCTTAGGTCACTACCAGGACCTGGTCTGATCAATTTTGAGGTAGAAGGACAGGTCCAGCCTAGGAGATGCAAGATCATGCATGATCCAGTCTGTGCCAGTCTGGGGCCTCATCTTGGGCAAATTGCCTGCCTTGGCCCTTGACCAGTGTGCTTCTACATCTGCCCATGCACCAATGCATCACGGTGCAATTGCATATGAGTGTAGTTTGAACCTGTCTTGGAATGGAGGGATGACCTCCAGGATGTAAGGACAAGGGACACAGGACGAAAGAGGACAGGATGATGGGGGAACGTCCAAGTGGCATGGGATCAGGAGGTCTCATATCCTGGAGGTAATACGCTGCTTACTGAGGTGGGCACAGTCTCCTGAGTACAAGACAGGGGTGTGGGGTGGGAGTTCTGGACCTGAGCCGTCATCCAGCATGGCTTGGCTCAATGGGAAGGCTTGATCCTGATGGCCCCAGCTGGAGGAAAGGTGTAAGGATCCATACATAGGGTCTCCTGGAGGACGTGATGGCTGCTGAGCATTCTTAGCAACGGCTTTGAAGACAAGAACTAGGCTGGAGCTCCGGAGGACCCCTAGCTGTGGTAGGCAGAGGAGTGGTTGTGCTTATGCCCTGGACTTCTCAGTCCTAGGCCCAGCCATGGACTTTAAAGTTCTTGCTTGTCTGTAGCTGCCAACTGAGGTCATAATGTGTCGCCCGCACAGTGATGAGCAGGTGATTAAGGTGACTTATGCCAAGCACAGTGCCTGGAACATAAAAAAACTCCTTTTAGAAAAAAAATATTTTGTGTGTGTATGTGTGTGTGTGTGTGAGAGAGAGAGAGAGAGAAAGAGAGAGAGACTGTGCATGTAGAGGTCATAGGACAGCTTGTGGGGATTGGTGGGTTGGTTCTCTCTTCCTACCATGTCTGTTGACAGTGCCTTTATCTGATGAGCCATCTTGCCAGCACAGCATAAGAGACTTAAGAGGGACTAAATCAGGTCAAGTGGGGGAGTGGGAGAGGAGGGGAGAGGTGGTGGGGAGAGGCAGAGAAAGAGGGAGGTAGGAGATAGTTGCCCAGCTGAGGAGCGGGGAGGAAGCACTACTATAGGGTACTATAGTAGCAGTGGTAGAATGTAGTGGTGGTGGTTCATGTGTTGGAAACAAGGAGGACATGGGCACAGCTGGGTCACCAGCACAAGGTCTGTTTCCTCTCCAAGCTATTCCCACTGTGGGCAGAGCAGACCGCTTCCTATTGGTATTTTCCAAGCCTAGCAGGGAGGCACTGGGTCCCCGGGGCCCAGGAATGGTGGTGGGATCTAGTGTTTTTCCTGTTTCTCTCGAAGACTCCATGCACGGTTCTATGAGCTGGCCCCCAACCTCGTCCCAATGGACTACAGGAAGAGTCCCATCGTCCATGTGCCCATGAGCCTCATCATACAGATGCCGGAGCTCCGGGTATGTGAGAGGCCACTGCTGGGGGCGGGGGTTGGAGCTCGGGGAATCCTTACCTGGGCAGGGAGTAGAGGCCCAGATCCAGACGAGGCCTAGCTCTACCCGCTGTGAATGTGTTTCCATAAGTGGACTTCTGAAACTCACTGTGCCTCAGTTTCCCAATATACACTTAGCATAAATGGCTTTTGGAAGTGGGTGGAGCTTGGTAGGTGTACTGTGGGCCATTGCCCGTGCCTGTCTGCACGTCCCTATGTGGGGTAGCCTGGGCTGCACTTGGCAGCCCTTGGTCTGCTCTTTCAGATCATTTCTCTCTCATCTCTGTGTCTGGTCATTGATTCTTGATCATCTCTAGTGGCACAACCCAGGCTCACACTTTCTGGGAGTCTTTCTAGGATGTTCATTTGGATTTGGGCCATGTGGGGTAGGCTCAGCCAACTCCCAGGGAGGCTATTGTGCAGGTCTTTAGGCCACCTATACATTGAAGGTTTCTTGACTTCTTCACATGGAATATAGAAAGGACACTCCCACCGCAATGGGCATAGTTTCACTGGGCTGTGGGACTTGGCAGGCTTGGGTTGTGTGGCTCAAGGTAGGGTAAGAGAGCTACATAGCATCCCCTTGGGCCTGCATCCCAACTCTGTCCTGAGAGTCGACAGGCACAGGTTTGGCCTTAGAAAGCATTGCCTGTCCTTGAGGGAATGGGAGACCAGGCCGAGTGTCATGGAGAATGTGAGGCGCTATAGGAACTTTGTTGCTGGGCCTCTGAGGCTGATCTGGGCTGAGCTGCTGTGATAGAAGGAACGTGGGCCCTGGATGATTTGGCATCTCTGGAAGGAATAGAGGCAGTGTTGGAAATGGGAACAAATGGGCCATGTGATTGGAGGCATCAGAGCCACCTCTTGCTGCTTCTGTTGGTCCAGTTATCTGACATGTTGGGGCCTTACTTCCATCCCTCGTGTCTGGCCTGAATTAGCCTGAACTGGGAACTTCCTGGACTTCCTGTCTTGTTTTGCTGGGGACACAGCCCAGTTTGTGGAGGAAGGAGCCTGTGTGTGTGTGCCTCTGAAAAGTGGGACGGTTAGCATGCAGGCTCTGCTGAGTTTGCCGTGTTCCTGTGTAGCATGCATTGAGTCAGGTCCTAGATCCATCCCTTACATGCTCTAATTCAGCAACTCCTCCAATAAACCATTAAGTAGCTGTGGTTATTGCTTCGCTCTAGGGGCTGCCACGCAGGTTGTCACAGAGTACCCTCAGCCTGGGCTGAGGTCCCTGCCACACCTACCTCAGTGACGGCTGTGTTTATCTTCAGGAGAACCCCTTCAAGGAGAGGATTGTGGAGGCTTTCTCTGAGGATGGTGAGGGGAACCTCACTTTCAATGACTTCGTGGACATGTTCTCTGTGCTCTGTGAGTCAGCACCCCGAGAGCTCAAGGCAAATTATGCCTTCAAGATCTATGGTAAGCAGGGGCTGGCAACAGGGTGGAGCTGTGGTGCTGAAGGGCCATATGAGCCATTGGACCATCCAGTTATTGCTGGGTACACTGAGGCTGGCCTTTGAAGAACACCTGCCTCAAAGGCGCAGATTGTGCCTGAGATATATCTTGAGAAAAAAGGGAAGGCTCTCCCACCCTGGGTGGGCATTAGGGCGAAGAATAGTGACTACAGGACCAGGGGAGATCGGTCCCCTGCAGACTAGAGGACAGACACCCCAACCGAGTGGGCAGTAAGGCTTGACAAGGTGAGGACGGTTTGGGATGTGGTGGGAAGGATCAGTGAGAGGAAAGAGAAATAAACTAGGCTGTGAGGAGTCTGGACATAGTGCTCAGGGCTAGGACACTGCAGGGTTCAGGCAGGGAAGGGCAGTTGTGTTCTAGAAAGATCACTGGGAAATTTTGAATTGTGGACTTGAAAAAGCCAGGCTAAATCTGGGGGCCAGACAGGAGACCGTCTGGGATGTCATGATGAGCCTGGTAAGGAGGGAAATCCACAAGAGTCCCCCTCACATGCCAGAGGTAGGATCTTCCCATTCCCCAACCTGCTGATGCACTGGCCACTAGAGGGCGCTGGTCACACAGAATTTCCCCATAGCTAAATGGAGGCTACCATACAGCTCACCCACTGTGCCTGGGTCAAATCCTTGCAAAGTCAAATCACAGAAGCCCAAGGAGGGATTTGAACTTTTACTGACCAGGTGAAAAGACCCCAGACCTTCCTGCACCTTTGCGAAGCTGGTGGATCTCAAAGTAGTGATCACTTCAAAGGACTTTGGTTTAGACATAGGGTACAGCACATTGTGTTTGCATATAAGAAAGAAGCCCCTCCATATGTAGCTTCTAAAATTTCACCTATTATTCCTCAGTTTTGGACCCCACAGTGCTGCCCCTGGGAAAGGCTGCTGTTTCCCTACAAGAAGAAAGTGCAATCATGGGGCGGTCTTAGATTCTTACTGTTAAATTGGCTTAGGATTCTGTCCAGCCCACTGGACAGATCACAGGCTTTTGTTTTTTCCTTTTTCCATGGACCCTTCTGCAGGCCCTTCAGGAGCAGAGATAAACCCTGCTTCATGCTCACTGTGGAGGCCTCAGTGTGGCCTGCTGTGAGCAGCTCAGGTTACAATGAAGGGCTTCCTTCTGCTCTAAGTCTGACTCTGGCCAGGGTTGTGACCTCAGGGAGGTCCTTGTCCTCTCCAGCTCTTTCCCTTCCCCTTCAGAGTTCAGGCATGAGGGAGACTGGCTCTGGTCTTCATCTCTACCATCCATGCCAGCCTAGTGGGCAGCAGCCATTCAGTGGGAGGGGCGTCTAGACAGTGATGCTTGAAGAAACGTGAAGGCCAAGTAGGTATTTTATGGGAAGGCATCAGAGGTGTGAGACACGTGAGACACCGTGTGCACAGAGCTGGCAGCTGTGCTGAGAGGGTAAGAAGGGCGAGACAGAGCTGATCATGACGAGCCTGCACATGGCTCGGGCCCACAGGACCACTGTGCTGTGCTCTGGGGACAGTGCTAGTGCCCTTGGCCCGCCCAGGAGACCCCGCACTGCCCTTTACTCTGTGTACAAGGGCTGCCCCTGCTCTGGTCTCTCTCTAGGGCAGTGGTTCTCAACCTTCCCACTACTGTGACCCTTTTATATAGTTCCTCATGTTGTGGTGACCCCAACGATAAAATTATTTCATTGCTACTTCATAACTGTAATTTTGCTACTGTTATGAATCATAATGTAAATGTCTGATAGCAGGATATCTGATACGTGACCCCCAAAGGGGTCATGGCCCACAGGTTGAGAACTGCTGGTCTAGGAGAATCCTGCATCTCTTGACTTGACTTCTGTTTTTGTTTTTAATTGACAGATTAAGTTGTACATAGTATTACGTGCAACATAACATGTGTGGGAATTAGTCATGTGTGTCTGGAGGCCTACCAGAGGTGATGAGGTACCATTTAGAAAGTGTGCCATCCTGACTGGATCTCTGACTTGACTGGGGCACTTGGCCTCTCTGGGTCCTGACTTCCTTGGCTCTGGGAGTGCACCTTGGGGTGAGGCTAGGAAGGCTATTTGGCATCAGTAGGAAGTTTTCAGTGTGCTTCAGATTTGGAACTGTTTGGGCTGTGACTGTGTGTGCTATCATTGTGGAGGTTTGTAGGTTCCCCAAATGTTAATTTGTCGTCTGTGTATGTTTAACATAGGCCTTGTGTGTGAGGCCTGTTGGTTTCAAGGACCCCACTCTTGTCTGAGTTCACAGAGATACTCTGGGGGCTCCGGAGGCTGGTGGAGAAATCAGTTTGGTTAGCTGGGAGGAAGGGGAAACACTGGCCAGGACAGATCCCTGGAGAGACTCAGCCCTGTCCTGACCTTCTCTATTCACTCCTCCAACCGCACAGACTTCAACACTGACAATTTCATCTGTAAAGAAGATTTAGAGCTGACGCTGGCCCGACTCACTAAGTCAGAGCTGGATGAGGATGAGGTAGTGCTTGTCTGTGACAAAGTCATTGAGGAAGCTGACCTGGATGGCGATGGCAAGCTGGGCTTCGCTGACTTTGAGGACATGATCGCCAAGGCCCCTGATTTTCTCAGGTGCTGTTACCCCAGGGCCTGGGCTTGGGATGCATAGACCTCCATGGGCAATGATATATGCAGGCCTGAAGTAGCAGTTTGAAGCCCTGCTCCCCAGGTGCATGACTGGCTCTTATATGACTACTCAATCCTGAGAGGGATCAAGAGCTTGGAGCATGGGAAGGATCAAGACTCTGGAGGCTGGACACTGGACGCCTGCCCCTTCTGAGCCTCCTGTAGTTACCTCTATGCAGCTTCCCATAAGGGAACAACTGGGTTAAGTTAGCTTTCCCCTGTGGAGCCTTCTGCTCCGCCCACAGCCTCTCACCCTCTCTACCCTTTCTCTTTCCAGCACTTTCCACATCCGAATCTGAGGACACTGCCAAGGCTGCAGGGGCCTAGAAGTCTGCTCTCTGAGCTGCTGTCTGTGCAGGTGTGGTTTCCAGGCACTCCAGGAAAGGGGCTGTAGCCTCTGGGGTTCTCCTCACCCATGGACGTTTCCTGTGGCCCTTTCAGCAAAAACAAAACAAAACAAAACAAACAAACAAACAAAAAAACAAATAAAAAAGGAAACTTAACATCGATGAGGTTGTGAAAAGCAGGACCCTTCCCAGGGCCCCCAGTGGTTCACTCACAAGATCAACAGTCCCCCTGTGGGCCCTCTCAACCACCCCCTCTCCTGCCTAATCCTTTCTCAACTAGCAGTGTCCTGGGGGTGGGGGGGAACCTAGCAGGAGGGGTGGGGCTGGGTTATCCATATGCTGGGCCGACACCCCGTCACCCAGGGCTAAGGGCAAAGAACCAAACAAAACAAAAAACAGAGACTGGGGTTTTAACAAGCTATGCAATCTTTTACTAAAACCAAGGCTGGGCTGTACGCCCCCCAACCCCCCAGCCCCCCAAGCCTCCCCTGCCTTCTACTTTCCCAATGTGAAGCTGTATAAACAGTAGCTCCAAAGGGCTCTGCCCCTGTGTCTGGGAAACTACCACACCCACCCTCCCCAATGACATGATGTCACTGGTGTGTGCTGACCTCAGATTTGTGAATTCCTAGGAATTAAACACTTTTGTGTCCTGCACTTTCTGTGTCTGTTGCATTATTAGGAATGCTGTCATATTAGTATTAGGGATGCTCTGTGGTACCTTTCAGGCAGTTGGGGAGGTCTTAGACTGGGGGAAGCATCGCCCTCCCTGTCAGGTGCTGACTGGTTTCAGGTGAGATTGTTTCCGTCTCCCTAGTAGTAGTTATATCTGATAACCAGCGCTCACCGCTTAGCTCCAGGCTATCCCACTACTCTTAAACCTTTCATCACCACCCCCAAGAGATAGGAACTCCTAGAGTTCAGAGGGAAAAGAGCGTTATCCAAGTGTCTACCAAGAAATAGCTTTCCTCACAAATGTGCACTGAGCCAGTTCTGCCCAGGGCCTGGGTGGAGGCGTGTGCAGAGGGGCATTGTGGTCTCGATTTCCTGCCTCCTGTGAATAGAGGCCAGGTAGAGAGAAGAAAGCAAGCCAGTTGCTCTCCCTATGGAGGTGGGGGCACATGGACAGGGGGAGTGGTACAGAACAGGAAAAGATCCCTGGGAGAGCTAGCTTGGCCAAGGGAGCAACTGGAGCAAAAGGCCTGAGTACCCTGTCCCAAAGCTAGTGACCAAGCAAAGCCCTGGGAGCTCTCTGCAGGGAAAACCACCAGGCTGACGATGGTGGGTTCCATGGAGGAATCTGGGTTGATCCACAGGTCAGGACTGGCTGAGGGCAGAGGGCAGGCAGGGGTGGCCTGCTCACATAGGCTAGCTCCAGATGTTACCAGGTAGTGCACCCGAGCTTAAGCCTGCTTTCATGAGTGCTCTCTGTTCAGGCCCTCATGAGCTATGTCATCACATAAGTTGTGGGGCTCAGTGTCTTCATCTTAGCACGCTTAGCTAGGAGCGTGCATAGTGAAGCTGGGATAAAGATGGAGAGGCAGGGCAGGGAGACTGGGGAGGGGGCAGTTCCCAGCCTGCTGTCGGGGGCAGCCATGGCTTTGGAGCCTGGACCTTGGCTGGACCCAGCCTCTTGCTCCCTGGGGCAGGTGCAGAGGGTGTGACTCCTGGCCTTTCTATCACCCGGCAAGACCACGAGGAAGGGGACTGGTTTTGTTCTCAGAAGTAAGAGCATGATGTCATTTAGCCTGTTGGAAGAATGTCTTGATAAGGAGCCTGCCACATGCTTGTTAAGCATCTGAGGTATGAGGCAGCTCCAGATGTTCATCGGCCCAGGCCTCTGCATGTTCACCCAACCCTTCCTTTAGTTAGTCCCCACTCTTGCTGGCCGTATTTCCTTCATTGTGTGGATGGACAGCATTGAGGGCATATCCAGGAGTTGCAGGCTGTGGCAAGGTCTCTCCCATGCCTTCCCAGGCGGTACCCAGGCTGCATCCTAGAGCCTGGTTCCGCAGTGGTTGGTTGTGTCACATCTTCAGCTGAACTGAGGGTATCCAGTAATCCCAGGGCACCCTCTGGATGCCAGGCCTCCCTCAGAATTTGTGCCTCTTGTCTGTGAAGAAGAACCTCCGGAACTTGTCAGGCTGGAAGAAAGGGAGAGGTGCTGGGGCCTGGGCTCCCCAGCAGAGAAGGAAAGACCCAGGGTCAGAAGCTCTTAGCTTGGGTCTGGGGTGAGGGGCCCAAGCTGGAGAAACAATGCCAGAATACAATGCTGGTGTGGCTCCCACAGCCTCTCCAGGGCCCCAAAGCCCACTTTCAGCCTTCAAATTTAAGATGAGGATTTGCTTTTGGCTAAGGAAGGGTGGTAGGAAGGGAGGAAGGTAAAAAAGAGGTGGAAAATTCTGAAGAGCATTGTCTTCCCTCTGAGTATGTCCTGGGGGTCCTGGCCCCTCCTACCAAGCTGGGGCCTTGCTGTGCCCAAGCTGGGACAGGATGGAGGAGGGAGGGGTTGTGTACTGGGCTCCAGAGTTAGAGGAGGACACGGGGACATCTAGGAGATGTGCAGATATGGTTTCAGAGGTCTTAAAGGACAAACACCTCATAAAATGATGGGAATAAGAGCAGGAGTGGGAGGAGGCAGCCCTGCCCTGAGTGGGGGGTGCTGGTTCGCCCACCGGCCTTTGCTCTAAAGCTTGGGATGTCCCTGTTTAGGCCAGGAGAAGGAAGTTTCAGCTTTTCAGACTTGAGGCTGTGTCTGCAGAAAGGGAACTTTCCATTCCTCTTGTTCTCGAGTATAGACAGCTGAGGGCCTGAGAGGGGGTCGGTGGGTTCAGCTGTCTCCCTAGAGACTCAGGAGTCTCCCTGTGGTGTTCTTACCCCCTCCACATTCTCCTTCTCTCTGTCATGAATTCTCAGAAATAGTTGCCCTATTCACGGAGGGCCACCTAGACAGCATCTTGTCAAGAGAGGATGTGGGACCCTGTTCCTTGGGCAGCTGCTCTGGGCATAACCAGATGATCAGCTCATTTTACAGACAAGGAAGAGAGAGCCTGGGTAGGGTTGCCAAGTAAAAATATAGGCTGCCCAGTTAAATCTGAGTTCTAGGTAAATCAGAAACTGTTAAGAATTTTTTTTTGAGACATATTAAAAAACCTCTGGTTTGTGTCCAATTCCAACTTAACTAGCTGTCTTCTATTTTTATCTTGATGAATTTGGCAGCCCTAGTCCTCAGAGAAAGTGTCATGGCCAAAGCAACAGGCTAGAGATCTGCTTATTCATGAGGTAGGAAGCTCTTGGGTGGGCTAGAAGACCCCATTTCACCCCACAGTCTAATAGCTGCTTCTGCCATCCTTGTACCACCAGGTGGAAAGTTCTGGGCACTTCTGAGCATTGGCAGTAACTTGTTCATGCTCGAGGACCATACACAGTTTCTCTTTATATAGTCCTGGCCTCAAGCTCACAACAACCCTCCTGCTTCTGCTATTCTAGTGTTGGGATTAATGATGTGTGTCATCATGTCTGGGTCACCCGTGTTTTGTAAGGACCTGGCCACTCACCCCCTCAGGGAACTCACCTTGTTTACCCGTCCAGTGTCCTTGTTCTTGGAGGCTGGGATTTGCTCATAGGTGTTCCCTGGCTCTGGGAGCTGAGAGGTCCCCAAGATCTTCTCATAGTCACAGTCCATGGGCCCTGACAGTTGGCTGTATGTGGGGCTGACACCAGGGGATGGGATCTTGGCAGTGCCATGCCAGCAGGTTGGAATCTGTTCATAAGTCCTGCCTCCTTGGTCTGGTCTGTCCCTACCCTCCTGTCGTAGGCCTGCTGTCCCAACAAGCTGGTAGGTATCTATAGAGCTGGCCTCAGAGGAGGACTGAGCCTCGTGGCTCAATTTTAGAAACCCCTGCCTCCAAGTAGTAGGCCGTGATCCTAGGGCCTCAGGATTGGGGGGCAGGGGAAATCCTAAGGAAGCATAAGGCATGGTGGCATTCTGGTCTGTCTTCACCCCAGATGGAGCAGGCTCTGGGCTATGGGGATTGTTCTGGTCTTCATCTGAGAGTGTCTTTGAGGGTTTCCTGCATGGGGAACAAGCCAGGCTGCCAGCTGGAGCTAGCCTGTGCCTGCCACACACCTCTGTGCCCAGGCCTTGCTGTGCCCGGTTCGTCTTCTTCAGGTCTGCGTAAATGATGTCATTGGGGCCTGCAGAAGGCTCATCCAGAAGAGAGGGGCTCCTCTGAGGAATAGGGGGTACTCTAGTGGGTGCCTGGGAGAGAGGGACAGAGAATGTTTTAAAAAACACCCCACTGTTACCGTGACCTCACGATTAGCCTCCTCTCCCCTCTTTTGCTTCAGTTTGGCTAGCATATGCAAGGGTTGGTTCATGACCTTCATGTTTCCTGGCTCCATGATTCTAAGTACAGTCTTTTCATTGGCATCCAAGGAAACAAGCTCAACAGTCAACTCATTCTGCCTGGTCCTTCTGCCTCCAGTATGGTCCATTGAGGTCCCCATGAGTTCATCCACTCACTGCTACATACCCTTTCGGAGTAGCTTTATCCCAAGCCCATTGCTCATGGATCTTTTCAACAAATAATTACCGAGTACCAACTACATGACAGGCAGTCTTAAGACCTGAGGACAGCTTGAGTTTCCATTCTAATTTGGAAACCAATACCATGGGGGCTGTGCTAAAGAGTGTACAAGGATTTGATGTAGTATATGATATATGAGTGGGAAAAGTGACATGTGCTATATATAGATCAGGTGGCTTTTTTGAGGAGAGACTGAATATAGTATGAGTATGAGTGATGCCACTCTCTGGTAAGAAGAGACCCAGGTAGAGTATACAGCAAGTTCAAAGGCTAATGGGGTTAAGGAAGATCTAGAAAGCCAGTGGGGCCATGGTGAAGAAGGGAAGGAGGTTCGGATACTGGGGAGGCTGTTGTAGACCCTGAGGATTTTAGGTTTTATTTTGAGCACAGGAAGTCCTTGGCAGCTGGGCATGGTGGTGCATGCCTTTAATCCTAGCACTCGAGGCAGAGGCAGAGGCAGAGGCAGAGGCAGAGGCAGAGACAGAGGCAGAGGCAGAGGCTCT